GTGTCTGACCGCTCCCTGGTGTGGAACACTGACCTCATGGAAACACTCGAGCTCGACAACCTGCTCACCAATGCGGGTGGGTGCGCGGGGCCAGCCCGGCCGCGACATCTGCGCACCTGGCTGGGCTCTGCGCGCCGCGCCGCGCCGCGCCGCGCCGCGCCACGCCGCCCCTCCCTGCCCGCGTCGCTCGGCGCCGGGCCCTCTGGGCGGCGCCGCGCCCCTGCCCCCCGCAGTGCTTTGCCCTTGTGATGCTCCAGGCCTCCGGCGGCGCCGAGCGGTCCCCCGTGATCTCATGACCACCCCTGCCAGGCCTCCACCCCCGACCTCGCGCATCAAGTCACATGTTTGCTGCCTCTTTCTTTCCCTGCCACAAATCACTCAAACTTCTCCCACCCCCTGTGCACATCGCTCCCCCCCTCCCCTCTGCTCCGCCGCAGCCATCACGATGCACAGCGCAGAGCAGCGCAAGGAGAGCCGCGGCGCCCACGCGCGCGAGGACTTCACTCAGCGCGACGACAAGGAGTGGATGAAGCACACCCTGGGCTACTTCGACTCACACACGGCCAGCAAGGACAAGGTGGGAGGGTGTTTGGGCAGGACCAGGTTGCAGGCTGCTGCAGTTGCTCCGTCTCACCTGTGTCTGTGTTTCTCATCTCATCACGTGTGTTTGTGTGTGTGTGTGTGTGTGTGTGTGTGTGTGTGTGTGTAGGTTCTGTTGTCCATCGCACGCGTATAAGTCTTTCTATGTGCGGGCGTGGGCAAGCATGCCGCCTGCTTGCGTGCGTGCGCAGCGCACCCCTGCCGTGGCTGCCAGTACTGACACCGCACCAACGACACATCCTCTGGTTTGCACGCGCGTTCGCTCATGCGCGCAGGTGCGCATCGACTACCGGCCGGTTCACATGCAGCCCCTGGACTCAGAGATGGAGCACGTGCCCCCAAAGGCCCGCGTCTACTGATCTGAGGGATCTGCGGGATCTGCACCAGATCGTAGTGCGCCGTTCCAATGTGCCAGAACATTAGGGCCGGACTGCCCTCGCCTTTGGTGCCCTGTCTGGGGTTTCGATTGGTATTTTGTTAACGCTGGCGGCCGGCTGCGCGGCTGGCAGATGGGGCGGCTCACTGGAGCCGCCCGCCGTCTATGCTGCCAGGCTCCGCCCCGCCATGTGGCTTGTCATGGGGTTGGCGAATGACGGCACGCGCGCCTGCTGGTGCAGTGCTGCCTGCTGGCGCCCTCCTCGGGTCTCAAGTGTTGAACGGCATTGGTTGGCGGGGCCTTGCATCCTTGATGGGCCGCACAGGCGGCCAGCTGTGCAGCGGATCCCACCGTGTCGCTGGCGGCTCACGTGTGAGTGCACATCCAGGAGGGGCTGCTCTGCCGCTTCCATGCAGGAGCCGCCCGCCCGGTCTCAGAGCCGCCTGTCCAGCAGGTGTGCCGTTTGAGCGCCCCGGGTGTTTGCTCGTCTTTCGGTGGTTCGCCAGCACTTCTTTTTTCTAGTAACGCTGCACAAATCAGCTGGAGTATGTCAACCCATGCAGGATCTATCCACCCTGTCCAGCAATGCTAGCCAGGCTCATCAGACTTGTTTACTGAGCCTGGGGCAGCCATGGACGACCAGCGTCGCGCGTGTTAGCCGGGGCAGGGGTCACAAGAAGGGCTAGCACGCCTCAAAATGTTTTCAGTCAAGCAAGAGTGGTCACGACAGGCCCCACTGGAGGGCAAGGCAGGTCCAAGCTCAGAGGACCACCATGCCCCGCATGGCGCCTCCGCTTGAACAGGAAGCAATCCCAAAAGGAATATCTGCCCCGCGCAGGCCTGGGTCACGCAGGCCCGCCGGCCTCAGCTGGCGTCAGCAGCAGCAGCTGCTGCGCGCGCTCCACGCCGTAGCGCTGCAGCAGCTCCTCAGCCGTCACGATGACGCCCTGCCAGCCGGCACGCCGCGCCCTGTGGGGGGGGGGGTGCAAGGCGGCGCGGTTCGCAGCAGCGGTGGTGTGCTGATTGGGGCGGGCAGGGCTGGGGAGCCTGCTGCAGTGGGGCGGACAGTCCAGAGCTCGTCCGCCGACGCAGCTGCCAGGCAATGTGTGGGGGTCAAGGGCCTGAGAGCGCCGGTGTCCTGGATGACGCAGACGAGGAAGAGGGTGCGCGTGCCAGCCGCAAGATCATCTGCCGACGCAGCTGCACACCGCATCGGCACTGTCAAACCCCAGGCGAGCGGCGGGCCCTTTCGCCCGCGCTGCGGTGCCCCTCCGCGCCCCTCCCGCCACCTTGCGAGCGTATCCTCGGTCTCTTCAAACGTGGAGTGGTGCAGCGTGATGCCGCGTCCCTCGTACTCCTCCTTGTCCTTCAGGCTGGGCGGTGACGTCATCACCACGCGGCTGCCCGGGGCGCTCAGCCCCGCGAGGGCCTGAGAGCGCGGCGGTGGCGAGGGGCGCCGGCGTGAGCTGCCTCCCCACAAGAAACTGGGACCGTGCCGCAAAGGATTAGGCAACAGCGCGCCGCATGCCCTTTGGACGCGTCAGCCCTCGAACCCTGCTTGAGACAGGATACGTTAAACACAACCATCCACTCATCCACACCATGCCCGTCCTGCTGCGGTGAATTGAGCTGCATCACGCCATTATGAGGGCCCCAGAACGCGCCCCCGCCGCACGTGCAGCAGCTGCAGGCCGTCCTCCGTGGTGAAGTAGCCTATCAGCCCCTCCAGCACCCACACCGTCGGCACGGCGGCGTCGTGGCCCGCCTGCGCCAGCCCGCTGGCCAGGGCTGCAGGGGAGGTGTGCGTACGCGGTAAGGTGCGTGGACAACAGGGCGGGCTACAAAGGCGCGGGCGATACGAGATATAGAAAATCACATGAACATGCCCCCCTGCAGGGCCGACCCCGCCGCGCTGGTGGCGACAGGCCCCAACGCGAAGCAGCACATCCTGCCGCCTGTCAGATCCAGATTTCAGGGCAGCAAGACAGCCTGCCGCGGCGCCGGCCAGCGGGGGTCCACCCATTCTTTGACCTGAACACTGCATGAATTGCTGCAATTCAAAGGCAGAGAGCAGCCCCGAACCCGGCCCACCTGACACATTTGTCAAGTCACACGCCACCTCGCGCCTCTCGCAGGCCGTGACTGCAAAGCCCTCCAGGGCGTGCGCCTTGAGGGCCAGAATGGGGGCTGTGTCGACCTCCCAAACCGCCGCGCGGCCGCCGGGCGGCCGCGGCCACGGCAGGCGCCATGCGCGCGCGTCGAGGCCGGCGCCTGGAAATTGGCGCGGTGGCGGGGTGGTGGGCTAAGAGCACATGGGCTCGTTTCGGGCGACCCGAATGACAGGATGAGCGCCGTCTGGTGCAGCCAGGTTCAGTGCCCATTGGCGGCCGGTCAAGATGTGGGGGCGGCCTGCCCAAGTCGACATGACTCGCCGCCTTGCCCCGATACTCTGGCCCAACAGGTTGGTGCGCACATTCTCGCTGCTCATGAGCTCGATCACAGGCACACCCGCCCGTGCGACTTCCGTAGTGTTGCTCCTCACCCAAGATGACGACTTGCAGGCTGCTGCCCTCGGCGGCCACCGCGACCAGCCCCCGCGCCGCCTCGAGCACGCGCGCGTCTATCTCGGCCGTGCGCACCCCCATCCACTGCACGCGCAGCCCGACGCCGGCGCCGGGCTCCCTGTCCTCCAGCTTTGCTGCTGCGGCGCGCGGAACGCAGCGCGCGGCGGCTGCTGCTGAGAATGGGTCAGTGAACAGCGGCGCGCCGGTGGCGGGGTGGCGCGCCTCGTCGGCGGCCTTGGCTCTCCAGAAGGATACCTGCACGTTTGTGCGCGTGCGTATTGGATTCGGAGGGGACACGGGCATTGAGGCAGCAGCTGCGACGCGCCATACACGCTTCAAGCCAAGCAGCAGGGCAGCGGCGCAGGGCGGGAACTGCGTTGCAGTGGCACAGCAATGGGCGGCGGCCTTTTCGTGAATTTGTTTCTTGCGCTCGCCTGCAGGGCGGTGCGCTCCACGTTTGTGAGGGCCTCCCAGCGCTGCTGTATCGCCGCATCGTCGTCTTTGGGCACGGATGGCCTCGTGCTGTCCAGCGCCGCCATGCCTGTTTGCTCGGCACTGCTGCACAAGCGCACTGGTCCTGCACCCCAAGTCCTGTCAGCTGCTCCTGAGGCCGCTTTCAAGGCCCAACCACTCGGTTTAGGGAGGGTGGTTTGACACTGATCAGTCACCGAGAGTAACTTCGTAAGAGATGGTGCAAATGCGTGACCCTTGATACAGTGCATGTCATGTACCTGTGTTTTGTGTCATTTGAAAAAAATTCCAGGGATCTGATCGCGGAACTGTGTGTCACTCATGTAGGGCTCCTCAATCTGCATGTCTTCGGCCCTTCTCACGTATCAAGAAAAAGAGAAAGAGACTTGACCATACTACAAAGCGATCATTAGGCTGTGACGCGCAAGTAGCATTGAGCCGAAAGGCGCAGCAGCAGGGCGCAAAGCAGCGCACATGCGCAGGCGACCTGGCATCGCGGGGCTGCAGCGCGATGTGAAGGCGCGGGTGCGTTTCTGCAGAGCGTTATGTGGCATGCGCAATTTGTGAGCTGCAACCTGCTGCTCTAAACCCTGCCCAGTGGCAGTGCGCGCAGCCCGAAATCCGCAGCGGAGCTCAGCTGCGGATGGCGGCAAAAGCTTGCGCACTCAAGCTCCAACCTCAACACACCACGCGGCGCCTGTGCCACCCCATACCATGCGCTGGCAGGAACAGTATCGCGCGGCGGGTGAGGAGGTGCGGCGCGCGACCGCGGCGCAGATGCAGGAGCAGATGGCGCTGTTCCGGTCAAAGCTGGAGGAATTTGCGTTCAAACACAAGGCCGAGATCAGACAGGACCCGGTGTTCAGGGCGCAGTTCCACGCCATGTGCGCTAACATCGGCGTGGACCCCCTCGCCTCAAACAAGGTACCTGGTTGGGCGCGCGAACTTGTGGCTGTCGGTTGTGTGTGCGTGAGGTGGTGAGTATGCGGGTTGGTGCACACTCTGGCAAGGGTATGGTACTGCCAGCTGACACGGCGAAGGCCAAAGCAGGCACACAAACTCCAGCATGGCTACCACAAACCAAATGCAGCACTCCCCCTGCCTTTCAGGAACCATCTCACCACCCTTGACTCCCGCCGCTGTGCCGCGTCTGCCGTCCCATCCGAAATTCCCAGGGCATGTGGGCCGAGCTCCTGGGGTTTGGTGATTACTACTATGAGCTCGGGGTTCAAATACTGGAGGCCTGCTGGGCCAGCAGGCCCCTCAACGGCGGCCTCATGGAGCTGGGGGCCCTGCGGTGCGCTGCTGTGCCTGTGTTGTGTGCGCGCGTGCGTGCGTGCGTGTGTGTGTGTGTGTGTGTGTGTGCGCGCGCGCGCGTGTCCGTGCGTGCGCGCGCGTTGGCGTTCGTATGGGAATGGGCGTGCATGTGCTTGTGCATGTGCACCTGCATGCACGAGGGATGTCCATGCATGTGAGTTCGCGTGCGTGCTTGCTGGAGTGCGTGGTCGCGTGCATGCGGGCGCATGCCCAGGTTCCTTGTATCGCTGCGGGTGGTGGATGGGGCAGCATGGCATGCGGGGATAGCTGCAGGGCGGCGCGCGGCTTCTCAGGTACTTGGACCTGCACCGTCAGACAGCGCTGTGTCAACAGATGCGGTTTTGTTCGAATCAGCTGGGGCGACCCAATGAAATACCGTAGACCTCAACAGTGCCAAGGGCTGCGAGCGCAAGATACCCGCCCTCTTGCCTGCACGCTCACCTTGCCCACAACCGGCGGACCAAACCAGGTCCGCCGTGCTGCGGCGCCGCGGGGCGCTGGCCGACCCGGTCAGCGATGACGACATCACGCGTGCTATCAAGAAGCTGCGGTGCCTGGGGGGCGGCCTCGACCTAGTGGCAATTGGGCGCGCCTCCTATGTGCGCAGCGTCCCTGGGGAGCTCAACTTGGACAAGAACAGGGCCCTGGAGATTGCACAGGTGGGCGGGATGGGCACGTGTGTGCATGCGTGTGAGCGAGTGTGCATGCATGTGTGGCTGTGCATACGCACACGTGCAGTTGCTCTATTGAACGGATGTGTTTGAATGTGTGCGTGCACGCCTGCATGTGACTGTGTGTCCACATGTATGTGCGCATGACTGTGTTTCTTGCATGCATGGGTATAAGCGTTTAATTACGTTTTATATCATGCATGTCTGAAAATTGTGCATGCGCGCGTGCATGCATTGATGTGTGCGCATGTGTGTGTGCACATGCATGTGTGTGTGTTTGTGTGTGTCTCTGCACATGCATGTGTGTGTGTGTGTCCATTTTTCTGTGCGCATGTGTGCATGTCTACATGTGTGTGCATGTATCAACTCCCGGGGCTGGGCATGCATGCTGTCACAAGCATGACTGCAGGGCACTCATGCATGCGTGTGCAGTGCAAGTGCGTGCTAGAGCGAACGCGCTAGCCCAGGCGCCTGCCACTTGCATCGCAGCGGCGAGCACACCGCGCCTGGCGCCCCTTCACGGTGGCAGTGAGAGGCTTCCCACAAAGCGAGCGCCACGGCAGAGCACAGCCCCCTCCCGTATTGGGCTCGCCCGCGCCGCCTGCAGGACAAAGGCTGCCTGTCCCTGCAGGACCTGTCGGCGCGCGCGGGCTGGGCGCGGCAGCGCGCGTTGGACATCCTCGAGGCACTCCTGAAGGAGGGGCTGGCGATGGTGGACGACGGCGCGCCCGGCGGCGAACGCCTGTATTGGTTCCCAGCCCTCAGCGGCGGCAGCAGCGGCGGCGGCGGGGCTCAAGGGTTGGTGGCTGTGGCTGCGGCGGCTGCGGCGACCGGGTGACGCAGCTGCGGTTGGTTCGCCAGTTGGTGTCCAGGGCGCCAGGCAGGCTTTCGCGGGTGCACTTGCGGCAGCAGTGCGGCACAGGCTTGATGTGCTGATGCAGGGTCATGCGCTTCGGATGTGCGCTTTGGGCAGGTTTTGGGCTACTGTGTCAAAACACACTATGAATCCCCAGTGCCCAGAGCGTCGCTAGTGCCGCCCCAGCTTGGCAACCACGCGTCACACCTGCCCAGCCCTGCCCGGCCGCCCCCTCAACGGACCAGTCAACCCGTATCCATGCATTGGGGTAGCATATGTGCAATGCCATGATCCAGAGCCTGTTTAGGGGGTCCGAAAGTGTGAGCTCACTGGTCGGTCTGCCATACTGCCCGGGTGCCGTGCGCCTTAGTCAGCAGTCGCGGACGGGCAATGGCAAGAAGCCATCGCCTGGTCACACCGAGCGCCCACCCAACGTCTTGCCTTGCCAAAGAGTTTGTGTTATGATATTTCTCAACCTCTGCCCAGCTCCCGTCTCTACAGCGCGAAACCGAGGAGCATTTTTACTCGCCCAAAGCTGTAGCCACCGGACGCGCCGGTCCCATCAGGAAGGCTTCGTACATATAATTGAGAGTTTTCTCGTCTTTTAACGCCCAATTCCAGGGCAGCCCGCGAGCTTGCTGAGCACACCCGGCGAAGGTAAACCTTGAAAATCGCTCGGGTGACTGGCTGCGCCTTGAACTTGGGCACATGATGACGCAATTATTCCCCGCAGGCACGCGCCTCTCTCGATCGTGGTCAACCTGCCCAGCCCGCGCTTGCAATCATCAGCTACCTGTCGGATGAGCGAGTGGGAGCAAGACACACCCTCAGGCAGTCAATGCATATACGATAGACCGGAGCAGACGCCGGAGGCACACGCGGGTGACAGCAGCCCGGAGGTCAGGCACTCGCCGCGCCGCAGCGGGACACCTACGGTGTCTGGCAGTGCCACGCCGACGAGCCGCAACCGCCACGGCTTCCGCGGCGTTCGGCAGCGTCCCTGGGGATCTTACGCCGCAGAGATACGCGACAGCGCCAGCGGCAAGCGCAGGCGAGTGGGAGGGTCACATGGGCAAGGGGGGAGCCGCAAGCGAGAGTGGCTATGCCGTGTGCATGATGGCCTGTTGGGAGGCGGCCCCGGTGACGCCGGGGTGACGTCTCCAGCCGCGTCCTCAAGTGCAGCCGCTGGGATCGCCTCAGGCCCGCTGGGATCGCCTGCAGGCCTGTTCCTGCACGCGTCCACTCCACACCCCGGCAGTCCGGCGCATGATGCCGACCCCCTCACCCACCCGCGCCATCCCCTGCCTCATCCCCCCCTCTGGCGCAGGTGGGTCGGCACCTTCGCGACCGCCGAAGAAGCAGCGCGCGCGTACGACGCTGCCGCCCTCGCGCTGCACGGCCCCGCCGCGCGCACCAACTTCCGCGATCCTCCAGAGGCGCTGGCACAGTGCCCGCAGCAGGCGCCCAGCGGCGGCGCGCCGGCGCCCGCGGCGCTGCAGGCGATGAGCATGGGAGGCACGGACATGCCAGTCGCAGGCGACGCCTCCTTTTCTAAGGCGCACGCTGCCGTGTTTGCCGTCGGCGCAAACGAGGAAGCAGCAGGGGCGGCGGCGCACATCGGCGCACGGGCTGGAGCGGCGGCCGCGGCGAGGGAGCTGCATGGGGTGCCCATCAGCGTGCCGCCGGTGCGCACCACGAGCATGGACAGGGCGCCCTTTGCTGCGCCCGCACCCTTGCGGAAGCTTCTCGCCGCAGCCGTCGACGCCGGCAGCCCCCAGGCTGGCGGCGACTCCCCTGCTCTAAGCAGCGCCGCCTGCTTCCACCTGCTCAACCGCGCGGGCGGCAGCGGCAGCTTGCTTTCAGGCGCCGCGGCGGCAGCGGCGGCCACGGCCGCGCTCGTGCGCAAGCGGCGCGCCGACGACGGGGTGTCCAGCGATGGGGCACCGCATGACGGCGGCTACGGATGCCATGACGGCGGCTTCCGCCACTACCCGCTGCTGGCCGGCGCGCAGCACCACTCGCACGCGTCTGGATCTCCAAGCGCCTTCCACGCGGGCGGCTTCTCGCCGGCCCGCGGCCGCGGCGCCTCGGACTCCCCGCTCAGCGTGGATGCGGAGGCGCACGCGGCGGCGCTGCGCGCAGCGAGCGGCGCGCGGCGCGGCTCTCGGCACGCGGCGGCGGCGCGCGGAGGGTCGGGTGTGCCCAGTGATTGGGGGCCCCGGTCGTCGCTCGAGGGCGAGGAGATGGACGTTGACGAGGGGGAGGACGAGGGTGGCGAGGGCGGCGGCGCGGAGGACATTGGTGCTGAGGAGGAGGAGGAGGGGCTGGCGCATGGCCCTGTGCTCCCAGGCGGCGCCAAGCACGCGGCGGGCGTGGGGGACGGCTGGGCGGCCCCTGCAGAGCAGGACGAGGCGGGCGCTGGCACTGGCGCAGCGGACGAGGACGCTCCCGCCGCCGCGGGCGCGGCGGAGGCGGCGCCGCCTGGCCTCAGCCCCAAGGACGTTGCGCAGGACCTGCTGCGGCGCGCGCTGCTGCTGCGTGATAATGTGGAGGAGGAGCACCGGGCATCAGCGGATGCAAAGGCACACGCGCAGGCCGTGCAGGCAGAGCAGGCGGCCGCGGCGGCGCAGGCGGCGCAGGAAGCGCAGGCGGCGCAGGTGGCGCAGGCGGCGCAGGCGGCGCAGGTGGCACAGGTGGCGCAGGCCGCGCCGGCTGCCCCACCTGCGCGGGCGCAGCCGGGCGGGGAGGCTCGGGTGTTTGAGGCGCTGCAGCGGCGCAACGCGGCGACGATCGCATCCCTCAAGCAGCTGGTCGCGGCGCTGGGGCCGCGCGCGGTGGAGGGGATGCTGCCCTCCCTGACGAAGCTGCCGACAGTGCAGCTGCTGCTCCGCAGCATCCAGCACGCAGCGCCACAGCTCGTCGCCGCCGTCGCGGCGGAGCAGCGCGCCGCGCAGCAGGCGCGGCTGGCGCAGCAGGCGCAGCAGGCGCAGCAGGCGCAGCAGGCGCAGCAGGCGGCGCGCGCGGCCGAGGCGCGGTGGGCGCTGCTGCAGCAGCTGCGGGCCGGGGTGCTCGCGCGGCGGCAGGAGCAGGCGGCCGCTGTGGCCGCAGAGGCTGCTGTGCGGGTGTCAGCGGCGCGCGCCGCCCAGGCACTTCGCCTGCAGCACGGCGCACACCAGGCCGGCCGCGCGCCGGCGCCGGCTGAGGGCGCCGACGCGGGCGAGCGCGCGGTTGTGGAGCTGCTGTCGCAAGTTGAAGCGGCGCGGGTGGCCGCCGCCGCCGCCGCCGCGTCCCCGATCCTGGCTGCGGCAGCTTCCCCGCAGGCCGGCTCCCCGGCGCTACCGCTGTGGAGGGCAGCGAGCGGCGCCAGCCGTGGAGCTTTGGCGCCCGCCGCCACGACAAGGGCAGAGACCGAGGCGGCTGCTGCAGGCGGTGCAGAGCCGGCGCCGGCGCCGGCGCCCATGCCTGGGCCCTCGCAGCTGCTACAGCTGCTGCTGGCGCAGCACAGGCTTCAGCAGAACCGCCACGTGCTGATGGCAGCCCTCCAGCACCAAGCCGCGTGCGCCCCCCCGCTCCCAAGCCCACGCGCGCCGCTCTCACACGCTGAGGCGCCGCCCGCCAAGCGCCAGAGGACGAATGGGCCCGGGGCGGCCGCCTTTGGGGGCGCGGAGGGCTTTGAGGCGGGCTGGGGCGGGGCCGTGGCGGAGGCTGCCGCGGCGCCGCCGGCGGGGGCGGCCAGCGGACACCTGGATGCCCTCGCGGCTGCCGCCGAGATGTTTGGCTGACCGGCAGACGCCTCGCCCAACCCGCCAACCGTCGGCGCTTGCGGCGCCGCCGGTGCACGCGGCCCGCCGGGCGCCGCGCCGCTGCTGTGCCGCCCTTGCAAGGCATGTCGTGCCGTCGAGCCAGGCACCTCCCGTGCGGCGGGAGAGGCCCGGCAAAGCGCGCTGCACCCTGACCGCATCCGCCCCTGCCTCACCCCTGGCGGCGGGCTCGTATGACACGTTATTCGATGACAACACGCTCGCGCGCGCGGCCTCGCAACGCTGCGCCCGGCCTTCCCAATCGCGCGCCAGCCTTTTATGGTGGGACCCCTGCTCTCGGTTGAATCGCCCCCTGCAGGCGCACCAGCACTGATTGTAGCGCCGGCATTCGAATGCGCAGGCTTCGCAGCAGAATGTTCGCAATTGACAGCGCCGCGGCCCGCTCCGTACATCCGGGGCGGAGTCCGCGTGCCCATCTTTTCCGCTAGGCTGCATGCACTCCGAGGCGCCTGTGAGGTGCGCCGTCCTTTGATTGTGCCCAGGCGCTTGCCCGTCGCCCGGCTTTGACGCGCGAACGTTGCTTTGCAGACTGCTGTGACTGGCTGGCGCAAGAGTGCGCGGCGCGCTGCCGTGGGCATGCGCGCATGGGTGCCCGGACCCCTGATTCCTTTGCTGCGCCGGCAGGGGCTTTGGCGGCGCTGGTGCTGACGACGCCGGGCGCCCTCAGCAGCCCGGTTGCGCCGCGCAGCGCTGCGCACACACTTGACGCAACGACTGGACTTCGGTTCGTTGCCCATCAAGCCAAAGCCTTCCTAAGGGATCCCAAGCCTCCCCGCCCGCTCACCCGTGCGGCCCATATACCATCACCATTCTCCGCGTGAAACGCCCGCCCCAACGTCCCGCAAGCTTCCGTGTTGCCCATCGAAGGGGCGGCCACTGACCCCGTTGACCACAGGCTTAGGCCGACTGCGTGCCCTGCTTGGCATGTTTTGCCTGCCCTTCAGAGTGCGTGAGACCCCCTGCACCCCGCACTTGGCTCCTCCTTGCTTGGACGCCCATCGCTTGGGACCCCCGAAATAAACACAGAGCAAGGTGCCAGGTCGTGGCGCAGCGGCGGCTCCGTTGCTGCACCAGCCGCTGCGCACACCGCATGCTCGAAAAGCACGACCGGCGCATTTTCAAGGCCGGTTTCAGCTCTGAGTTCTGAGTTGACATGAATGGAGGCAGAGATGGGTTCGCGCTGCTCGTGGCAATTGCAGGCATTCTTTTCTGGTGTAAGGGCTTGTACCAGGTAAAGAGGATGCAGAGAGCCAGCTCAGTATAACAGGATGCCCGCGATCTTTTGCACTCGCCCAGACCTTGCATGCACGAATTGAAGGCTCCAGCAGTCTAGGGGCAGCACCATGCACGCATGCGCCGACAGCTGTGTGGGCATTTGACCTGGTCCTTTGAAGCCCCGGCAGGCAGAACAGCCGAACACATGCATCGAACAAGCAAAAGAAAAACCACTAGTAACACTGCTCGGCGCGAATTATCCCCCCTGCAGTACAGTGTGTGGCTCGAGTGGGCACTAGACATCGCGATTGGTAGCTGCAACGCGAAACGTGTCTGCTTGCACTTCAGTTGCGTGATTATCGTGGTAGGTCTCAATTTCTTTTGTTTCACCGCAACACGACCACCGCAAGCACCGGCTCGGAAGCGTCGCAGCATCGACACCCTGCTCTGCATCGCAGTGTCGCATCAGACTGCTCGCGCGGCGAAATCCTCTTCAAAATGGCGTGCTACATGGGTTGTGGAACCTGCGCCGGCAAACTGCGGTATGTTGCCACTCGGGGCCAGCCGGACACTGCCTGTGCCCGGGTGATTTGTGGTGTCCACATACTGAAACGATGATGCAGATTAATTCAACTCAAAAACTTTCACGTAACCCATCCCCGCACCCCAGCTGGCTTCTGTTCACCATTTTCATCCTCGCGGCAGCAGGCAAGCTCAAGGGATGCTGTGCGCATTTTTTTTGCTCTTTTCTTGCTGCTGCGGCTGCTGCAAGGCCTTCACGGCACGCGGTGCATGCGGAGGCGGTGCCGCTGTGTCACCGCCTAACTGGCAGTGAGAGTGAGCTGAATTCTGGAGAGATCTGATCAACCCATCTCTGCTTGCTTCCTGTACATTTGCAGCTCTCCTGGCTGGCGGCCTGGTGAAGACTGTGCCTGGGTGAGAGTGTGCCGGCTCCGCCACTCGGGCCTGGCTACTAGGGCACTCGTGTGGGGCCGCTCATTCCCTTTGGGCCGGCGATCGCATCCCCCGAAGACCGTCTCGCGGGCCGATATTGCACTGCGTGGCATCACACAGCATGGCGCCGCCGCTGCCCAACCCGCCACCGTCACCGGCGCCACCCTCCGTCCTCACCCCCCGCACCGCAGCATCACGGAGCTCTTCAAGTGCACCACCAAGTGAGCCCGCGCCCCAGCCACGCGAACAGTCCCCAGCACCCGGCGTGCGCGCAAGTATTGTGCATCCAGTGCGCCTGGATCCCTGCCGGCGCCCTTACCACCCAGTGCTCCCCAAGGCGGCAGGACCGCCGCCGATGTCTGGTGCCCCGCGCATCTCGGTGCTGCCCACCTGCTCAGGCCCTCCCCACTCGCGCCCCAGAGCCCTGCGCTGCCGTTTCCTCCACACACACCCCTCATAGGGACAAGTCTATCCAGGACAGCGCCAGCTGCTGGAAGGGCTTCTGGGCTGGCTACTGTGAGAAGCTTTGTGCTGTTGTTGGTGTCATGCCTCAGGGCTCGCCCCTGCGCGCTCGGGAGAAGGGGCGGGCCTGAGTACGCGTGGCGCACGCAAGCACCTGGCTACCAAAGCCTTCCCGCCGTCGCACCCGCCGCCTAACCATCACCGTCCCGCAACCGCCGCCGCGCGCCTCGCTTCCTCCGCGCAGCCCTGCCCTTCATCATCTCCTGCATCGGCGCGGGCTGCCTGCTCCTGTCATTCCTCACCTGCTTCTGCTTCATCTGCGCCAGCGGCCCCAAGAAGGACAAGGTGCGGGCCACAACACGGCGCGTGGCCCAAATCATGCGCGGCCAGACCTGCTCCTGGCCATGGCCCTACAAGCTGCGCCCGCAACTCGTGCATGGAAACGTGGCGCACGCGTGGCCCCCATGAGGGAGCCCGCGACTGCAGGCCGTGGTCTCGTGGAGAGCGCACGCGTCAACGCCGGTAGCCGCGCCTGGGCCAGGCGCGGGCGTGCTACCCAATTCCCCCCTCCTGCCGCCTCCTGCTC